TTTTCTGGACCTGTTGCCTCTGCGACCCGACTACGGATAAGCTGAAGAAGATGGAGATGTCCATTAAAATGTCAACACCATGGTACTAAGAGCAGGTGCAGATGTTTCTGTGGTGGTTGGAAGGCGGACGCACCGTTGATGTGTGTCACACAGAAATCACAACATCGGCACTTTTCTCAGCTTTATTTTAAACCATTTTATAGAAATTGGGTAAAAAAATAAGAGCGCCACGAATATTTTAATGCCAGATTGATGCACATCCCTCATTAGAACTGTGGTTTTGTTGACATGACTCTACAGTAATGGCGCCTGTGGAGGTACGTCACTAGCTTTAGCGGCTAACGGCTAATGGGCCATGTCCAGACCAGTAATGCAGATCAATGGGCTGCATCATGACGAGATGGAAAACTACAGATAGAACTGGGACACATTAGTTGTTTTGATACTAGACCATGAGAAAACAGATTCTGACTTCCAGGACCACCATGGATCCAGGCCAGGGGGACCAGGGACTGCTGGGTTCAAAACCCAGAGCATAAATACCCACGGCAGAAACTCGTGACCCAAACTGTGTTTGAAGTGCTCTATCTTTAGAAACCTACTGTGCAGTTATATATTCTGTAATTTTAGGACCAAACCAGCCAACAGACTCTGGTCCTGGTTCTGGTTCTGGTCCTGTTCTTTGGTTTTAGTATTTTAAATCTGATTTCATCACTGCACAAGTTTTAGAACTTCTTTTTTCCAACTTTGTATCAGTTTTCTGTGTAAAAACCTGAACGTGATGTGTGTGTGTGTGTGTGTGTGTGTGTGTGTGTGTGTGTGTGTGTGTGTGTGTGTGTGTGTGTGTTTGAACATAATGAACTCTCTGCTGCCCTCGGCCCACCAGCCGTCTCCATGGTGAGGCGGTCGGCGCCGCAGCGTGTGAAAGTGTTGTGAATGAGTCGGTGGGAAAAGCTGCTTCTGTTTCTCCTCCTTGTTGTGGTAAACAAGCCTCCGGACCACGTGACCCGGTCCGGTGCTCGCACTGGGAAGCAGCCGAGGATTCTGGGTCTTTTGTTGCACAGCTCCAGGGTTTGTTTGGATCCAGTCATCCAGAGAATCGGCACTCCGGTTCTGTTAACCGTTTTCTCCCTTCGGCTGCAGGGTCCTGCTGATGATTCTGGTCCAGGGTCTGAGTCCKGGAGCCAGATTCTGGTCTCAGAGGAGCCGGACAGGTTCTGAAACAGAAGCTCAGAGTTTTAGTTTGGATGATCCTTGGTTTTCTCTTGATTTTTGTGATTAATGACATCATAATTTAACCCCTTTGATTTGATCACCTCCTGAGGAGGAGGAGGAGCAGGAGGAGCAGGAGGAGCAGGAGGTCACTGCATTCATAAACCAGCTGAGGCTCTGTGACCTCTGACTCTGAGAAACTGGAGTTCAGGTTCCTCTGCCCCGAGTCTTCAGCTAAATGTTCCCAAAGCAGAGATTCAGTAAAACAACATCCAACCATTATCCATCCATCCATCCATCCATCCATCCATCCATCCATCCATCCAACCATCATCCATCCATCCATCCATCATCCAACCATCATCCATCCATCCAACCATCATCCATCCATCCATCCAACCATCATCCATCAATCATCCATCCGTCACCCATCCATCCATCCATCCATCCATCATCCATGCATTCATCCATCCCTCCATCCATCATCCATCCATCCATTCATCCATCATCCATCCATCATCCATCCATCATCCATCCATCATCCATCCATCCATCCATCATCCTTCTATCCGTCCATCCACCCATCCATCATCCTTCTATCCATCCATCCATCCATCCATCATCATCCATCCATCCATCCATCATCCAACCATCATCCATCCATCCATCATACATCATCCATCATCCAGCCATCCATTCATCATCCATCCATCATCCATCCATCCATCATCCATCCATCATCCATCCATCATCCATCTATCTGTCCATCATCCATTCATCATCCATCCATCACCCATCCATCCATCCATCCATCCATCATCCATCTATCTGTCCATCATCCATCAATCATCCATCAGTCATCCATCCATCCATCCATCCATCCATCATCCATCGATCCATTCATCATCCATCCATCATCCATCCATCCATCATCCATCCATCATCCATCCATCATCCATCTATCTGTCCATCATCCATTCATCATCCATCCATCACCCATCCATCCATCCATCATCCATCTATCTGTCCATCATCCATCAATCATCCATCAGTCATCCATCCATCCATCCATCATCCATCATCCATCCATCACCCATCCATCATCCATCCATCCATCATCCATCATCCATCATCCAGCCATCCATTCATCATCCATCCGTCATCCATCCGTCACCCATCCATCCATCCATCATCCATGCATTCATCCATCCCTCCATCCATCATCCATCCATCCATTCATCCATCATCCATCCATCCATCATCCATCCATCATCCATCCATCCATCATCCATCATCCATCATCCAGCCATCCATTCATCATCCATCCGTCATCCATCCGTCACCCATCCATCCATCCATCATCCATGCATTCATCCATCCCTCCATCCATCATCCATCCATCCATTCATCCATCATCCATCCATCCATCATCCATCCATCATCCATCCATCCATCCATCCATCATCC